AGCGACAGACGTATTTTAGTCGTCCTCGAGCTTCTTTTTTTTTTCTTAAGAACAAAAAAAAAAATTTTAACTTTTCACCGCCATTTGCTTCTCTCCGCCGCCGCCGCCAGCCTCGACGGCGGGGAGCGGGGCAGAAGAAGCACGACACGGGCGTCTCGCATGTGTACGTCTGTCGCTCGTGACTGTTTGCAAAAAAAAAACAACTGAGCCCCATAAAACTTGCACAGGTACACACACACACACCGGCTCCCTGTGGGTGCCCCCCCACCCCACCCACCCACGCCCACTACGCGTGGAGTTTTTCCCGCACCAAAGCCGGCGCCGAGCCGCGCAACACGTTCATCTCGAGGCTCTCGCAGCCGCGTTCCAGGGACTCGCGCACGACCTGCACGAGGTCGGTGATGTCTACCAGAGGATTGCCCTGACACGCAAAGAGGTAATCCCCTTCACGTATGGTGGCGACAGCATGACTTTTGCCGTCCTCCTTCGACGGCGGCCCCCGGACCTTGACGCACTTCAGAAACGCGTTAAATTCACACGACGGCAAGTGAGCAGAGAGAAAATCGCGCATCGATAACTGCTCCATCCCTGTGGGCCGCGCAGGACTCAAGGGCGCACACGCTCTGCGCAAGTTGGAGGGAGCCCAGTAAATTCCACATCGTCCCAAGGGCCAGTCGAACTTCCCCGTCAGGGTGCTTCGGTTCGCCCGCACTCGCTCCATTGAGCTGCGCGAGGTCAGGCATGCGTGGTGATTGGTTTGGCAAGAGGAGGCCGTGGGAGAAGCGTCAGACAAGAGGTTTTCCCTGTGGCCGCGGCGGCTGCCGTGGATGCCGCCTCGCGACTTTGTGCTGTGCGGCCCCCCATGATGGGAAGGTAAGGGAGAGATGGGCCGGCTACACGGATGCGGCCGCGGGCGGCGCTCCGAGCTCTGCCCCAGGGAGACCCCAATGCAGGTGAGGTGGCGCCGGAACACCACAGGCGCCTCTCCGTTCTCACGCCTTGCCGGCGGGGTGGTGGCCAGCTGCTTGCGAATGGAGTGTTTTCGCGCCGACAGCGGCGTCACGTTGTCTAGCGCCGAGGCAGCCGGGGAGGACAGGGCACGACGCAAGACGGCCTCCGCCTGCCACGTCCGGCGAGCGTGTCGCAGCGAGGAAGAGGGGGCCGAGTTCGACGACTGCAGGCTCAGGGAGGGACTGTGCCGCACGAACTCGACCAGGCCGGTGGCTCTGGCGTTGTTGCCCCTGGCCCGCGTCCTGGGGAAGAAGAGGAGGGAACGACGCCGCGGCAGCCGCGCGGACACCCCGTGGGGCTGCCCTCGCTGCTGACTCGCCCGCCGCACGCCATCCCTCCCGTTCACGGCCGCACCCGCGGCGGCACCAGAATCAGCGCTGGCGCCGTTAATGCAGGTGTGCGGCGCAGTTTCCATAAAGGCGCGCCGTCGCCGGGAAGATACATCGCTGAGGGGGGAATTCAGCAACGCCACCCGCCCCGGAGCAGTGAGAGGCCTCCTGGCGGGGGACAGCTGCCTCCTGCCCGAGCCCGCATTGAGCCCCGGCTGATAACCCCCTCGGATGTCTTGCGCCTCCTCCCGCAGTAACGGCTGCTTCACCTCATAGCAGCCGTTTCGCACGGTGCGAGCCACTACTGCCCTCCGCGGTCCATGCAAGGCCTGTCTGAGGCAACCGTTGGAGAGTCGCCTCGAACTCAACTCTGTGTTTTGCATCTTTGCTCTGCTTCCTTGGCCTGTGCGGTGGGGGAGAGTTGGTTTGACTGAAGCCATCACTGAGCAAGCGACGCCTTCCCTCCTTCACCCCGCACACATACACGCAGGCACGCACCTCCGCGGCGATGCCCAATGAAGCGGAGGGGCAGAGAGAGAGAGATGTAAATAAAGAAAGAAAAAGAGGTTGCCTACACGTGTTTTGTTTTTTTTTCTTTTCCTTTCTTCCCCACTGACTCAGTCTCCTGCGTGTATGTCAACCCCCCCCCCCCCCAGAGGCGGTGCTTGAGGTGCTCGCTGTCTCGTATTGTTTGAATCTCTGCAGATGCGACTCTGGAGAAAGTTATTTTGAGTTCGTCTTATTATATTTTTTTTGTTGAGGGTATGCGTGTGGCTGTCTCTTGCTGCCCGCGGGGGCCTTTGCAATGTCCGCCCTCGTATTTTTTCCCTTGCAGCAGAGGCGGGGCAGCGAGAGGGAGAAGGCGGTGCGGCAAGCGACTGCCGGGGCAAGGCGAAAGGCGGTAGGCAAGAGCCACGCACGCGCCCAGTCGGCGAAGAATGAACCACGCAGAGAGAAGTAGTACATGAGACCACACAAAGATGAAGAAAGGGCGCTGCAGCGACAAGGCATCCGCCCACACACACACACACAGTCAAATAGAGAGAAGAGAGAGAGAAAGCGACACCTCCATCGGCTCCCAGTGACTTTTGCTTGCCGTCCCTGCTGTCCTCCATTGCGGAGGCGGCAGGGGGCTCAGAGCTTCTTGCGGGCGAAGGCGTCGAGCTCCTTCAGCGTCATGGTGCGTCTGCGCCGGCGCAGCCAACTAACCGTTGCCGCGAGTGCCCCCTCATCGCACCCGCCACCCACGTTGCCGCCGTGCTGGTGGTTGCCCAGGCCGCCGCCGCCGCCGCACCGCATCCAGGCCGCGAAGCGGGCGGCGTAGTCGTCGTCGAGGAGGTCCATTTCGGCCGGCACCCTCGCCGCCACGGCCCTCCCGACGCGGTCACAGGGGGCCTCCTCCGCCTCCGCCCCCGCCTCCGCCTCCGCCTCCGCCTCCGCCGCTCGTCGGCGCTTCACGCCGGCGGCCGACGGCGTTGCCGCTCGCCGGGCCCAGCGCTGCGCCACGAGGGGGGCGAAGAGGGTGCTGCCGGCCAACACGTGCAGCGCGGCCAGCGGCGGTGGGACGCTCGAGTACCAGCGGGAGTACTGGAAGAGCAGGTCGCGGTGCGCCGCAGCCAGGGCCTTCACGCGAAGAATGCGGAGGAGCTCGTACTGCACGCCAATGCGGCGGCAGAGCGACTCGCGCAGCGCCAAGGTCATCATCTCCATCAGGGACTCCGCAACGCTGGGCCGCGGCTTCGGGGTCAGTCGCTGCTGCTCCGTCAGCCGCCGGTGCGCCTCGGAGGGGCACACCAGCGACAGGCGATGCGGCTCCCCGCTTGGCACAATGCCAATGAGAAACATCTCGTCAAGGAGCGCATCACACGCCGGCAGCATTTCCGCAGCCGCACGAGAGCCAGCGACCGCGGTGGCGCCGGCGGTGCCCGACTGGGAGGTGAGCTGCTCAAGCACCACAGCCAGCTCGTAGCTTATTGGCACCAGCCGCGCAAAACACAACACCCACTCGCCCAGGTCGTTTCGCGAGCGTCGCTCCTGCTGTAGGCAGCAAAACCGGCGCAGCTGCTCTCGCACCGCCCCGGTCAACGTTGACGGTGGCGTGCGCAGCCCCACAGCATCGCCGTCGGCAGTGTCACCCGCAGTGTCGCCCTTGTGGCGTGCATCACAGTCTATTACGAGCGGCGGCAGGTGGTGGTAGCGCTCCAACACCACGCGCTGCTCCGCCCACAGCCCCTCCGTGTCGGCCGTGTACCCCACGCCGCCGGTCGACCACTCCACCAACGCCCCTGGCAGAGCCGCGGGGGAGGACGGCAGAAAGGAGGCGGGCGCCCCGGACCCGCGCAGGGCGCTGCAGTGCAATCCCGAGGCCATACCTGCGGCCTGCTGCAGGGAGGTCGCCCTGGACGTGGCGCGTGCGTCGTCTGCGGGAGGCGGCCAGAGCGTGCACGGCACTATTTGTGTCACGAGCCCCAACTGCGCATGCGTGCGCGGCAGCAGGGGGACGAGGTTGCACATTACTGTCTCTTCCACGACGTGCACCGGCACCCTCGACGGCGACGACGACGAGGACGAGTGGGGAACCGTCCCGCCGCGACTGTGGCCGTTGCCGCCTCTGTGGGCCCCGTGCGCCTCCTCCCGCCGCAGCCATGCCACCGCCGCCGCGGAGGCGGACCCCAAACACTGCCCGCCGCCACTGCCATTCCTGCAGCGCCCCTGCTCGTGCGCCGGACGCGCCTCATCCTGCTTCACCTCCACCGCCTCATCCTCCTCCTTGATCTTCTCCCCGAGTCCGTGCCGTGGACGGCACACAGGTTGCAGGTCCGCCGCCGCGACGCATGTCACACCCGTCAGCCAAAAGGCCGTGGACGCAGCGGAGGACAACGCGCGTGCTTCGGCGGGCGGGTTAGGCGTGGGATGTCCGTTACTGTGGCCGTTATTCATCCCATCCGCCATATCACCGCCCCCGCCTCTCCCTCCGTCCCCAGAGACAGGGAAACTGGGGAGGGCAGCGGTTTTGCGTGACTGCGCTTCTCCCCGCCCGTACTCTCCGCTCTCTTCTCCTCGCTTCATGGTTCGTGTGTGAGTGTGTGCGTGGGTGGGTGTGGCGCAGGAAAGAAGAGGGCAGCCGTGAAAGCAGAAATACGCGTGGCGCGGTGCCTGCAGGAATTGAGCGAACACTGACTTGGGAGGGCAGGCCAGGTAAATGTGTCACACACACACACGCCTACTCCTCTGCTTCATCCTCTTCGCTACTTGCCGCTTTGCCGCGGCCACCGCCCCTCCGCACTCACATGCACTTACGCTAGCGGGGAAAGTGGCGGCTCATCGCCCACCCTTCCCCGCCTGTCTGCATCAGCCACACACACGCACACACACACACCCCTCTCTTCTGAAGTTTCGTCTCTTTTTTTTTGTTTGTTTGTTTTTCTTTTTTTTTCTTTTTCCTCGTATTGCAACCTCCAGCCCCGTCTGCCCTCCCACTTGCGCAGCACGCAGATGGAATGACTTACGAAGACGCAACGACACCGCCATGCCGCATCCATCCGCCTCCCCTCACATACATACATAAATATATGCACACATGCATACGCGCGTGCACCAAGCGGGAGGGGAAGAGAGGCGTGGGCCGCCGCGGCGCATCTCCCGCCCCCGTCTCTCGCCCCTCAGAGGAACAAGACGAATAAGAAGAAGATGTAAAAGAAAAACAAAGAAAGAACGTCACCAATACGCGTCAATGCAAATTTTTCCCCCACACTCCCAATGTATGATAGCCGTGCCGTCTGCATCTTCACCAGATGTGACGCCTCCAGTAACTCTATATTTCTCTCTTTTTTTTTTAAGCCCCGCCCACTCCTCCCCCTCCCCATTTTCCGTCACTTTATGTGTTCTTCGGTCCAGCCCCTACCCTCAACCCTCCCCCCCACCACACACACAATGCTCTACGTTTCGCGTGCACTGACGCGTGTCGGTGTTACTTTTTACCGCCTTTCCCCGCATCGGACGGGGAGGCAGCCGATGACGGAGGCGAGCCGGCACCACCACCACTACTACTACTACTACTGCTGCTGCTACTGTTGGTCCCCGGCGAAGTTGGCTTGCCAGGAGTTCCTTTTCCTGTCGCCGCACCGTGCATCTGCTCATGGCTGGCCATGGACTCCTTAAACGACTGCTCACAGGCGGACTTGAGCTTCTGCTTCTGCTCTTCATCCTCCTTTGTATCCTGCTCCTCGTACTTCTTGTACGGCGGCTCCTTCGGTGTCTCCTCATAGTGGCTCGCCGGGTGCACGGGCGGCCTCCCTTCATTGTCCTCAAACGTGATGCCGTCGTTGAAGGTGACCTGGTACGGCAGCGGCTCCCCCTTGGGGCGGTTCGAGGTCCACAGGTGGCGCCACTCCGCGCGTGGACCGTCGCGCGGCTCCACGAATTCGCCCGCCTGCACTAAATCGTAGTCGGGATCCTCGCTGGGGTCGGTTTCCTTGCCGTGCTTGATCTGCTCCCTGAACCGCGCCTTGGCCCGCTCCACCGCCCCCTTGAAGTCCTGCGGTCGCATCTTTCCCGGGTACGACCACGGCTCCTGCACCACCTCCGTCCGCTTTACCATCTCCCACTCCTTGTCCTCCTCCTCCATGATGCGGCGCAGCACCTCCTCCTCCTCCTCGCTGCAGCGCAGCAGGTGGCCCTGCTTGAAGCCGTAGCCCTCCGCCCTCCCGTGGTGATCCTGGCCGTTGAGGTAGAGGTGGGAGAAGGGGTAGCGCGGGTAGGCCTCCCACATCCCCGTCGGCCCCATGAAGTCGTAGCGGTACTTGTAGCGGAAGGTGCGGTTGCCGTGCTCGTCGACGGTTTCGTCCCACTTGAGGATTTGCTGCGGCGGGCGTGGAAACATCTCCGTCGGGTCGTCCGGGTTCTTCGGCTGCCAGTCCTTGATGCGGAAGATTTCATCCGCCTCCATGTACCAGTGACCCACGATGTCGGAGGCCGTGTTTGCCACGTGCCAGCGGAACGGGGAGGTGTGCTTCGTGTTGTACAGCAGCGGGTCGCAGTAGGAGCCGGGCACCATGCCGTAGGCCGAGAGCGGGGCAAAACAGACCTGCTCCAGCCGCTGCTGGTGCAGGTAGCCCTCGCTGCCGGGGCTCGTCCACTCCTCGTCCCAGGTGTACATCATCCACGCGCGGTGGCGCATCTGCCGCCAGAGTCGCAGCAGCCGCCCCGGCTTGACGTTTTTAAACGTCGTCGGGGGCGCGTTGGCGTCGTCCTCCTCGGCAGCCCACACACGGAGCAGCGGCGAGGCCCGCAACAGCTGTGCGCGGCTCACCCGCATCATCTTCCCCTCCCCAACTCCCGCCGCTCGCTATCGTTCTGGCGTCCTACCGTCTCTCTCTCTCTCTCTCTCTCTCTGCCGGCACTCCTCCTCCCCCAGGAGCTCGGCTGCTAGCAACTACCCGGCGAATGCGGTTTGCTTCTCCCCGCAAAGTCACGATCCCTACCGTTGCACTTCGGCCCCAGAAAGACGCGGACACCCACACACGCATAGGCAGAAAAAAAAGGCGGGAAAGAGCAGGTGCACGGCTCCCCCCCCCCCCCAAGCGTACAAGCGACGTGGACGGCACTCCACGGCAATTTCATGTACAAATCCAGTCGCCTCCCCAACGCGCCACGCGCCCGTGCAACCGCTTGAGCAGAGAGAAAAATAAAATAAAATAAAATAACTACGCCAACAACTAAAGTTGCGCAACACCTCCAGAGAGGTAAGAGTCAAGGGCTCAATGCGGCGACCACGTCAAGCGCACGCACACGCATGGGTAAAAGAGGGGGATACGCACAGTACTCTCCTCTTTTTTTTTAGCTCCTTTTTCATTCGTTCCTTCTCTCGTATTCCTCCTCCTTCTCTCTCCCTCTCTGGCAGAGCTCAACTAGCCGCCCCGCACAACTGCGCGGCCGTGCTGGCCAGTTCCTCAACGAGGTACTCTGCCACCACACCAAAGGCGACCGGGAGTGGAACCCCGACCGCCGTCGTGGGAGCCGCCGCTGTTGCCTTGTCGTCGTCGCCGCCGCCACGACCTCCTCCTGCGGGCGCACCACCAGCCGTATTCGTACCAGTGGTGGTGATAGGAAGAGAAGGAGAAGGAGACGGAGAAGGAGGAGGAGCAAGATGCAGGATGGCGTGCATGGCTGGGGAGCTTGTCACGCGCCGAAGCTTCTCCCGCAGCCACTCCCCCATTCTCTCTGCACTGAGGCGGTAGTAGTGTTCACCCCCCACCGACTTCACGTCGCAGATGCGTGAAAGCACCTTGTGCGACTGCATCGCCTCCACCACGGGGGCCAGTGCAGGGCACTGCGCCAGAGCAACTCTCCAGCCGGGCCACGCCGCTGCGCCGCCGCCGCGCGCCTTGGTTGCGCCCATGACAAGGTCCTCCGCGGAGAGAAACATCTCCTTCCTGCCGTGGGTGGCCGCCTGACGAAGGGCGAAAAAGGTGACGTCAAACGGCGTCACGACTAGCAGCTCCTCATTAGGCTCCACGGTGTCGTTCACAAGCCACGTCTGGCCAAACCCCCCAGGTGGCAGCTGTGCCTGCACCTCATAAAGTACCACCCCCACCGCGTCATTGTGGGCGTCGTTCACGGTACTCGCCGTGGTGGGAGGGCAGAGGTAGAGCGCGGGTTCACCGTGGCGCGGATGTGGCAGACGTACAAAGTCGCAGCCCGCACGAAGTGAGCGTCCTGACGGAGGCGCCGGCGCATCCCGCGGCGCGGGTGAGGCATTCACCGCCGGCCTGGGTGAGACGCTATTCGCCCACCGTGCATCCTCCACCGCGGCGTCGGGTGAACCTTGCCAGGGCTCGCCCTCCGCGCATGCACGCGCCGCCCGCGGTGTGCTGCGGCTGTTCCTACTGCCGTCTCGGTCAGTATCTGTGGCGGTATCCGTGAGAAGGGCGCGCGGCAGCACCATCATGTGGCTCGTGAGTCCATTGCGTGGAAGTGCGACGGTGTGGTCGGAGGCGTCGTAGCGAACGCCGCCGGCCGCCCAGGCCCCGGCGCTCCCGGGGTCGAGCAGGACGCTCTGACTGCCCTCGTCGTCCAGCTCCAGGCGGCGCCGCGGGGAGCCGCCGTCGGAGGAGCAGCAGGAGGAGGGGTGACTACCGCACTGCAGAGCCGTCGCGTCGCCGTCGCGCCTGGGCCTCCCAGCGATGGCGTTGCTGCTACTGGCGCCTGCCGAGCTCGTCGGCCGCCGCCGCTTCGTGGCCCGCATTGCCTCGCGTATGAAGCAGCGGCAGCCAAGCGAAAAAATAAAAATAAAAATGTGTCCTCAGCGCGCCACGCACCGGACGTCCTTCGCCGCCTCCAAAAATGAATGGCTTTGCCCCCGTCTTATTTGCCGCCTCGCGCGCTCTCTATCGCTCTCCTTCTCACTTATTTTTTTTCCCCCTTCCTTCTTTCTCCCACCCCTTCGGACTGCGTGTATGCGTGTGTGCGTGGGTATCTGTGAATGGGAGTATTTCCTCCTAGTGCCGGGATGCCCGCCATCCGCATTGTAGTGCGCGTGCGCGGAAGGCGGGGAAGAAGCACGGCCCACGGCAAGGACGAGGAGGAAGAAATAATGTATGTATATATGTATATACATGCATTGGCGGGAAAGGGGGGGAGAGAGGCGACAGTACTGCGCAGCCAAGGCGAGGGAGGAGGAGGAGGAGGGCGGCGAGTCCGACACCCACCAGGGCGACAAGTAGAAACAGCAGGGGGGGTG